GTGGCCGGTGAGTGTATGTTTATCAAATAAAGTCTAATGTTACAACTAATCAGGGATCCCTTTAAAGCCGTAATGGATACAAAATGATTCTGCAATATTACATGTCACAGTTGCAGATAAACTAAAATTTTTGCTCATTCTTGACATTTTATAATCTTGGTTCTTTTGTGATTGCATTCAAATGAAATTCTTTTAGAAGACTTCCTTTAAATGTTACGTGAAACCAAAACACCAAAGGCAAAAAAAAAAAGTTAAAGAAAATGAAAAAAGAAAAGAAAGAAATGTAAGCTGATAGACAGATGAAGATAATTTTCTTCATGTCTCCAGCTGGTAGAATTATTTCTGCAGATTTCACCAAAAGCTTTTTTTTTCAGCAGCAGTTGAGAGAGCCCATATGATCATGTAAAATGCCCGAGGGGAAGAATAGAATAATATTGTAAAGAAAGCAATTCCCTCTGCAGGGAGGGAGCTCAAGAAAATAGTGGGAACTTGGCATTGGTGCTGTTTCACTTTACTGTAGCTGAGTGGAAATGTTATTTTTGTTGCAATGATCAGACCACCAGCAGTTTCTCCCCTAAAGCCATTCTTACTTAAACTGGTCGTTTTTTTTTTACCTGCAGAGCTGATGCTTCCAATATAAAATATCTTATTCAAAAAATTTAGCTGATAATATTAGAAGTTTTAAACCTTTAGATCAGGACTCAAATTGGTGGACACAGTACACAAAGATAAATGTAGGAATTTATTATTCCAGGACAAGCTCTTTAATCTATCAGGTCTGATAAGAGAGGAAGCTAAGGAAGAAGTGATTCAAAGAGAATTGTTTGCAAAGTTTTTTTTTTCCAGTACTCTCTCTTTTTCTTTTATATATTTTTCCCTTGCAAGCAATGGGTAATGGTCTGGTCCAGGAATCCGAAGAGAAAATAGAAAAAAGTCAATGAACGGATGGTGGAAAGCGAGCAGGCAGGTAAGCAAGGGTTTTCCACAGATTGAAGGTAAGGCATTCATGAGAGAGCCTTCCAAATGTCTATGACATTTGCTGTGTTTCTATTTGACTTCTCCCCACATCACAAAAGCTCACAGTCCTGTCTCTTGYGTTTTGACCATGGTCAAAAGAGTTTGAGTGACAAATTTGCTAAATAGTCACAAAGTGGTTCAAATCTCCCTTTTTTGTTAAAAAATAAAAAATGAGGTCGGCTGTCAGGGTGGATACAAATGAGTTGGGTATGATGTGGGAGCTGGTGGGTAACACAATAATTTGCACAAGCAAAAACGCAGTTTTAGAAACTGTACACATGAAAGTATGTGGTAGGAAACCAGGGTACCCAGAGAAAACCCACAGGTGCACAGGRAGAACACACAAACTCCACAAAGAAAAGTCTCAGGCCGGGTTCAGATCTTGCACCCTTCTAGTTGCAGCTCTGTCAACAAGAAAGGGGTCTCTGCAGTCACTAAGTGGGAGTTTCTTGGGTGTGGACATAGTTTAATTGATCTAATTGACTTGTGGAGGAAGTTAAAAGATGCAATGTATAATGGTAATTAGTAAAATTAGCTAGCACCTGCCTGTCTCGAGTTATGACCAATTTAATTTTAAAAAAGCAATCATTTTCCAGGTGGGTTTGGGCTGTTTGGACCAAGCTGAATTGCTACACATCCCTCTATGTACAGCATTCAAATTTTGTGCAGCCAGCACCTTCCTGTCCAATCAACCAACCACAGTTTACCCAAACTATACACCTGAGGAACTCCCACTTACTGTACTGACTGCAGAGACCCCTACTTACTACCTTGCATAAAGTATCTTAAAGGTGTAAAGAAAAAAACACTTTTGACACCTAACTGTTACTGGAGRTCACAACAGTTTGTGAAGTTCTTAAATTGGGTAATATGCATTCCCTCAAAGAATACAAGACTTTTGATTTTAGCTGTGAAGTTGTGACTTTTTGATT